TGTCACCATCTAGGTAGTGTCAATATTTACACTTTTCAGGAGCTTCAAAAGCAAGAGAGGAACCAAGGTGGGTTTTGAGATTGACGAAAGGATTCATAAGGTTCACCTGTTAATTCAGTTCTTGGTAAATTGCTAATCAACAGTCCAGGAACACAGAACTCAAAGACAAGTTCCACAGGCAGGGACACAACCCAGAACCTCTTGCCTTCGTTCAGATGACCCTTCAGGACCAGCTTCTAGTTCAGTGTCTGACCTTGGGAAGAGAGCTTGCTAATCAGTTTTTAGGAAACTGGTTTCCTATATAAACAATGTTACCCACAATGTCTCCTGGTTAGTAAAGATGATTTGCCGCATTTGGATTCCGAGAGAGATTCAAGTGCAGGTCACAGTGACCGGTCCCCCCCTGCCCGCCCAGATGGGGTGTAGGAGGGGCGCCTGCACACAAGAACCAGCCTGAATACGGGAAGTCGATCAGCTCGGGGAACCAGCCTGCTGTTACACTCATTTCCCTGCCTGCTTGTCTTATTAAGAGCTCGGTTTGTTGTCACTCCCCCTCACATGGTGGAAGTGGAAAACCCCTCACCTGGTGGATTCCCTTCAGCCAGACTCTCTCCTTAACCATCCCCCTTCTTACCAGCAATCCGACATGGACAACTGCTGAGGCTGCCGCTCAAGATGGAAAGTGCTAACCTTCCTTACATTCTGCTGGAGGAGGTTTGAATTGTACCTCCACCCCACCCCCCCAAGGAGCTCCCATTGAGATCTTTGAAGCTCACTGTCCCAACTGCCAGTGATGTCTTGCTAAAAAAGCGCTAGGGCTGCGGTCAGGGGTTTTATAAGGAGCTGGCCTCCCAGGTGCAGCCAGAGAATGCAAGGCATGCATCTCTGTGATTGTTGCACCGCTGCCCCCTGGTGGCTGAACCCGGACTATACAGTTCTGATCCGACCGATCTGCTACAGCCGCATTCTGTTTCAATTAGAAGGCGGGTTTATTTCTACGGAAGCGCATCGCTGAAACCAAGGGAAAACATCATACTGAATTTAAAAACAAATCCTGAGTTTTTTCATAATTACAGGTATGTTATGTCAAGTACAGTATGAGAGACTGTGCTATCTCGTATTTACGCCTATTATATAGCCTATAATTTCGTATATACAGTAAGAGATAGTAAGTCTCGCGTACTGTACGTGATCGTGCGATAGCACAAAAATTGTCATACTGTACAATACCTGCATCGCGATTATGTGACTTCCAGTTTTCAGCAGTAGCATCGATTCTAGGGCACACTTGTTATTGTTTGAGAAT